GAAGAACAGCAAGCAGACTTCGAGGGCTGAAGCTTAGTATTCCACCAGCACAGATCAACCGAGCAAACAAACTTCGAGGGTTGGAGCTCAACTGATCTAAGGTAGATAAGAGTATGCCTTAACCCGGAGGAAAGGAGGCAAGGGGCAGATGAGGTAAGTTCCCCTGGCATGTCCAAACCCCGGGAGATGAGATTTTATACAGAGAATGATTTACACACTTGCATTAGAAAAGGTGCAAAGAAACAACTATTAAGGATCACATTGATGGGCCAAAGTTTACATTTTTGGTTCACAAGAAAGGTTCCTAGTAAGATAAAAAAGAAAAGAAAATAAGGGAGTTCATCGATTGTTAATTCGGGGGTTGTATCTTTGAATTACAACGATAATCCCTAATCTGAGATTAAGGAACATTCCTTAGTTTGGAACGCAGGGAAAACTCCTGGACCTAACAAGTGAATGCCTCTTGATATAAAACGAGGAAAAGAAATTTGATTTGCAGGGGCCTAGGCACTGAAGGAGGGCCTATTGCGTCCATGCAGTCAACAAGAAGGAGGTGGGGGTCCCTTCCATGGGCTCCTTCTCTTTGACGAGGGACACGCTGTGGAATCAGCAGCCTCCCAGATGTCATAGTCTTCCCATGTCCCAGGACGGGGAGCTGCAGCCCTCAATGAAGAACCATCGTTGGGAGACTTTAGCAAGTTTGGAGAAGCAGTCCGGCTTTCACATGAAGGTTCTACCTCAACAATTGGCAGAGAACGCCCAAGTCTAGCCATGCGCATCCTCTGATACAAGGCGAAGTCTTGGAGGGTCATTGAGCCCCAGTCTATCCTTCCGGATGGAAGCCTGGGTGGACTAGGAGGAGATGGTGCAGGGAGGCGAGTTGTTGGATAAAGTCTTGAGAACTCGCCGGGACTCAACCCAGCCATGTCGTTGGACTGAGCCGGAGAGGCGGAGGAATCATCATCCGAAGAAGAAGATGTCCCGGAAGGGGTTAAGCCGATGACGACTTTTCTCCGAGACTTACTTGCCATGGTGAAGAAGTCAGAAAGGGATGGACTAGCAGCTAACCATCCTTTCCCATTTATAATGAAAGGGGAAGGGATAGTTGGGAAATGGTGAATGCGGTTAAAAGGCGTGAAGGACGAAGCGATTGGTGAACGAAGCGGTCAAAGATTCCCGATGTTTGACCAGGGGTTTCGCCATTTAAGTGCATGGGCCAGTTAATTGGGCCCATCTGCGTTTTTGGAAAGACGTCATCCGTGGAAGGTAAGGAGTTAAATAAACTTAGGCTTCTACTTCATGCAGATGACGGCACGTGCAACAAAATGACAGGAGATAAAGGTTTTTCCATTAAATAGCTCAAACAGAAAATTACATTCTTTTGGGTTACAGTAATGGGCCTTATCCCAGATCTAGCGATAAAACAAAAAAGAGACGGGAGATAAAGATTTTCATTAAATAAAACAGAAGATTACATTCTTTTGGGTTACAGTAATGAACTTTGTCCCTGATCTACTTCTATCTTACTAACTGGAAGAATCTGAAGGCAAGGCGGATCAACACTTCTGGAATTTGAAGGAGTGTATTCGCTGACCCTTGCTTCCCTGCCTGAACCAGAAAAGAACCCCAGAGCGGGGGGGGTGTGAAGAAAGCCCACCGTTCTCTCTTGATGACATTCAAAAGGGGCGAAAGGGTACTAACGGGTTGGGATTGAAAGCCATTCCCCCGTGGGTACCATGCAGACACTCTCATGAAGACGAACAAGGAGGACGATGAGGCACGAGGGAGGGACTCTAGGCCTGTTTCCGCTTATACGGAAGATGGAGGCGGGTCCCGGAAGGTTCCGTCCTTTTCCCTGCGTATAAATGGAAGCCTATTTCCCCCCATGTCATAGTCCCCCCACTCCTCAGGTGGCTGTCCATATGACTACCGAGGGGAAGGGGAACCCTGGGAGGAAGGCCTCGCACCAGAGACCAACCGGGAAGCTCCTGAGTGGGGATTGCGTCTCTTCTGCGGACGAGATGTGCCAGGACGGCCAGAAGAGGCTTCCGTCCTGGCACCGTTAAGAAGCACGCCGGGACTCGGAGGAGCACCCCCTGACACCTGTGGGAGGAGATGAGGGTGATTCTCCTCCCTGGGCAAGGGAGAAGTCACCGATTGTTTAGAGGCAAGAGAAGGCTCAGAAGAGAGCTCAGGCATTGGGGCCCCGAGTGAAGGGAGTGCCAACGAAGAAGAATCAGAAGAAGAATCGGACATAGTAAGATCAATGAAGACAACTCTGTTGGCATTATTAGCCATGTTGAGAATTTGATTGTGATGATGAAGGGGTTTAGCCTAGTCCCTTAAATAGGCGAGTAATCCCAAAGGAGAAGTGCAAAGGACGCGGAGTCAGAGCGCTTATCCGATTGGGAGGCGGTTGCGGATTCCCGAGGAAAGCTAGGGTTGCATCATCTTATTATTGGGCTAGGGTGAACTGGGCCCGGCGTAATTAAAGTGGGCCAGTCACTTAGCGCAATGATAAACAAGAAAAACAGTACATTGTGAATGCAATTAAGCCCAAAGCCTAGGCGGATAAAAAAATCTGCTAAGTCCTAGGGCGGAACAAGAATCCCAAAAGGAGAACAGTTAGCTTAATAAAAGGAGTCTGTGAAGACGGAAATACATCAAGCGTTATAAAGTTACAGCCATCTAAATGTTACAAAGCGAAATACAACAGTCAACAGAGAAAGATAAAGTCAAGACCCCGGGTCAGCACGAGAATCTGGGGGAGGAAGAGGGAGAGGTAATCCGTAGTGGGAGATGAAATCATCCAGGGATCGGTGAGCTGGAAGACCACTCCGGACCGCCTCAATAATGCAGTGCTGCATGTCAAATTTCCCTTCTTCGTAAAGGGCTGCGGCACGGGCAGTCAGGCCTGCAACCTCCTCTTGATGGGCAGCAATAGCCTTCTCCAGTTCATCCTTCTTTGACCGGAGCTCGCTTGCAGTCTGTCTCTCTTCCTTCAACTTCTCGAGGGAGAGCCGTCTCGCTTCCATCTGTTTTAGTGCGACTTCATTAAGACGGGAACCCTCATGCTTGGCCTCTCGAAGGGAATTCTCCAGCTTAGAGATCCGGGACTCCTTTTCAACCAATTCAGCTTCTAGACTTCCCACTTTTCCTTCTGAAGCCGAGGCCCTTGATTCCAAGATGGAGATTTGTGCCTGGAGTCTGTCAAACTGTGCTTCCAGATCCTGAGTCCCCCTTTAGTAAGTGGCAATCTGCTCATGCAAGGACTTGACCTTGGACCTCTCGGCTGCTAGCTCCGTTGAGCCATCTGCCTTGAGCCAGGCATTCTCTTCCTGAAGGACCTGAACTTGTTGTTCCAGGGAGTCAACCTTCTGTTGTAGAGCCCTGGCAGCCAACTCCTTCCCCTTTAAGAGCGTCACGGCCCGGTAGTTTCCTGACGCTCCACCCAGGTACTCCTCAGTCAAAGTCAAGAGTGATTGTTGGGCCTAAGGGGGGAGGAAGGGAAGTCAAGAAAGGGATAACTAAAAGGAGATAAAAGAGATTCTTGAGAGGGAAAAGTACCTGCTCCATGAAGTGCAGTGCATTGAGGGCAAGCAAGTCAGGGCGAGCTTGGGGAATTGTGGGCCCCTGCACTGATTCCCTCATCTTCTCTAGATTCCCCTGGATAGTCCAATGGGAAGCCTGTAAGGATCTCAAACCGCGGGAAAAGCCTGCCCAACCCTCTGTGAAAGCGGGGTAAGTTTGCGGTGGATGGGGATATTGGGGGCTGGGAGTGTGGCTGTAGAACACCGTCCCTCCGGCTCCGATTGTTTCTCAGTCTCTCTCTCCACTTCTGGAGGAGCTTCAGTATCCCTCTGCTCTCCGACCTCATTCTCCTTCGAAGAGGGGATTTCCGTTTCTGTCTGCACTTCAACCTCCTTCTCTGCTGTGGGGGAAGGCTCTGGTTCTTGCCGACTCACCCCTTCCTCCTCCATCACTTTAGGAATAGTTGCGGCATGGGGGGAGGAACCGGACGCCTCAGGCTGGGGCTGCGTCACGGGTCTTCTGAGCGCAGACTGGTCCCGGAGCTCTTCTCCCTCGCAATCAAAGCTATCCGGGTGGGGTAGCTCCAAACCCCCGGATGTGGTAGCAGGGATGGCGTACTGGGTATCAGAAGAGGTAGGCAGGGGGCTGGGTGAAACAGAAGTATCATCACCCTTGTTTTTCTTGGGAAGGAAATCATCATCAGTGACTCCCTCCCGTGGCCGCTTCTGGGACGGAATTGGCCTCCTAAGCCCAGGAATGGCTGAGATGGGAATGGCCTCCAAGGCGGCAGTCGGCTTGCGGATAGCCAAGGCAGTGGAGTTACCTTGGGATTGATTCCCGGGAGAGCTCATGGCCGGGTTTGACTCTGCAGCAGAAGGAGCCTTCGATTTCTCGGGAGGAGGCACGCCTTCAAATGGAAACGGTTCAGGACCCAGGGGGTAGTAAAAACCCGCCTTCTTGTACAGTTGGGCGTCTTGAAGGGAGTGGTGTGAAATTAAACCTTCTTTTTCTCTCAAGGCGTTGTACACTCCCTCCGCTAATTCTGCTGCAGCAAATTTCGTCCGGGAAATGGAACGGCGGAGGACAACACCCGGTAGATCAAGAGGGCTGTGAGCCGGGAACTCAATAACGAAATATCTCAGTGACCATTTTTCATGCTTGAACTCAACCTTTTCAAAAATTGGGAAATGGTTGTGGGGATATAGGCTGTAGAAGGGGAAACCACCGATACTGAAGAGGAGAAGGAATTCATCCAATGTTGGGATTCTGTCCAGGGCGCAGCATCGCAAGATGAAAGACGCGACATACTTGTGCGCGTTGGCAGTCAATTGACCTGGAGCAAATCCGAAATGGAGGCAGAGATCGCGAAGCAGACCGTGGAGGGGCAACCTAAACCCGTTTTCCACAGAATGATATTGCATGACCATGTACTTCTGGGGATTTGGATTGTGGGATAGACTAATCCCCCCAACGGCATCAAGATGGTGGACCCGGAAGCCCTTGCCCAGGAGCGCGGCCACCTCTCGAAGTTCGTTCTCCTTGATGATGGAGGGTCCATGGGTCCAGGTTTCGGGATCTGTAGGAGCCATTTTGGGAAAAGAAGCAAAGATTTGGGGAAATTGCAGTCGGAATTCGGGTCGGGTTAAGATTCAGTAGCGAGAGGAAGAAGACGGGTCCAGAAGGGGTTATATCCGTTGAAAGGATGGACCCGAGGCACTCGAGTGCGACGTTTCTGATCCGACGCGAAAACCGAAGGCGGCTCATCATTAGTTTTCTAGCGACACGTCGTCAGAAAACTAGGGGGCTTGTGATGGATATCGGGTCCGGTAGGCCCGACTCCAGGCCCAAGTAAAGGCCCATAATAGCCCAAAAGGTAGGTCAGACGGAGATGACGGGTCAAGCCCGTTATTGCGCATATGGCAAGTAGAGAAAGACGGCCCAGTCATGGGATAAATCAAGGTGACCCAGTCCAAGGGAAGAATGGGACACGTGGCCCACATCATCAAGTTGTGGACGAAATGGGAAGAGAACGAGACCGGAAAAGGGGGGATCACAACCCCATGATCTCCATAATTCTTTCCATTTTGTATAATTTTAATTACAATATTAGAAATGCTATAAAAAGGGGGAGAACCCGTCATTGTAAAGGGAGACAATTCAATACTCAATAAAAGAATATTATCGAGTGATTATATCTTCCTGATTCATATTACGTTCTTGGTCCGCCATCTGATCGGGTTAATCCCATCAGTACTAATTTTTGTAAGTGGATTTATGAGTATAAGAGCAAATAAATAAATAAATAAATAAATGTGCTCACTTATAAAATTCTGGAGCGTTGGGAAGTTAATCTTTTTCTTCCAGGTTGGTAAACTGTCCGCAGAATACAATGATATCACCCCGAGTCGGGTCGGGCGGGGATGACCATGAACAGGTCCGAGTGATGATGTCAGGACTGAGGGCTCTGCTCTGAGGGGCTTGAGCAAATGACACGAGAGCAACAGAAAGAAGAGTTTTGAATGCGCCCCTGTTGTGCCCTTCCCCTTTATTCCCTTCAATTTCGATGCTTTGATGTACCCAAATTGGGTCTTTTACCCAAACCCATCCAACCCAACTCCCCCTTTGATTCTTTCTTTCGGGTCTTCTCTTGTACTCCATAATTGTATACTGTATGGTATCCCCCAACCCCACCCCCACCCCCACCCCCATTCTCTTTCTCTCATGATGTATACAGTATACATTGTCCTGTTTGTAATCGTATCTCTACTCTTCCCTTCTGGGTTTTCCATATTGGGTGTTCTTGGTTTCTCCTTGCGGGCTTTATATACAAATTGAGGAAAAGGAAGGAGTGAATATAAACCCAAACTGGGTTCTTGGCTACACTGAAAAGAAAAGAAAAACCCAAGATGTTAAAGAGCTTGAAATTTCTTGATTGCCTGAGAAAGAAGCAGATGATTCTATTCTGCTGTCTCGTCCCCATTTGATAGTGAATCCCATTCGCTCCTGTTTCTTCTGACTCTGAAAGGAGCTTCCTTTCTTTATTCTTGGTTCCTGAGCACTCAAATTGGCAAGAAAAAAAAAATTCCAACTCTCCCTCTTATCATCTGGGAATAATTTGATTTGAAGTGTGGTAGATAGGTTTTGTATTTGTAGTGACCCGGGTCGAAAAGGTTTGATCTTTCTACACGCTGCACTTGGCTCTCTTGTATGAATTTCTGAAACAATGAGAGATGAGAACTCCAACAAAGCCAAGGTTTGTTGAGAATGTGTAATTAATTTCTTTCTAAGTCTAATTTCTTCTTCCAATAGGCTTGGTAATTCTGTGTGTGTGTGTTTTTTTTTTTTTTGAATAATTAAGTTTTCATGGACCAAGACTCTGGTCAAGAAATGGTTCAACATTAAGAGCAAAGCTGATGACTTTCATGCAGATGACTTAGCCGGTGGAGGTGAGTGATTTACCTGGTCAACTAATAATTATATTATGTGTCTGCCATTGATATATGCAGTTTGAGATCTGTTCTTCCTTTTAATCTTCCTGAAACCTTCTTTTACATCTTTGGTTTGTTGTTTTACCAGAAAAATGACACAGCTTTGGTGAAATTTGTCCACTTTTTTTTTTTCAGGCGTTTATGATGCCTCCAGGGAGAGGTTTCCAGAGAGGCAGGCAAGCACCCTCAAGAAAAGCAGGACAGGTTGATTATCAGACCTGAAATATTTCAGAAGTTAAAAAATAAAAAAATTAAACCAACAATTTGCATCAACTTTTTTCTCTCTATTTTTTCCTGCACTGAATTTGGATGGTATCCACACTTGTTGCATACAGTTAAAATTAAATCTACAGAGAGGTCCAGCAAAAGGAGCTTGGAACGAGTGCGACAAAGTAAGATTATCGACATTGATGCTTCACAGGTTACAGATGTCAATAACTATAGGTTTGCACTTATTTCATCGATCTACTCTTAAAATTCCATATGCTTGAGCTTAGTATCTAGTTCATAATATGTCTGTCTTAACGTTGGCGCAGGATATTTGTAGCTACCTGGAATGTGGCTGGAAAGTCTCCACCTAACAATTTAAGTCTAGATAATTGGCTGCACTCCTCACCACCTGCTGACATATATGTTCTAGGGTGAGTTGGGAGTTCCAAGCCCTATCTTTTTTTCCCCTCTTCGACTCTTTGGAAAGGGTCTTATTGTTTCTTTTTTTTTTTATCGCCATTTAGGTTTCAAGAAATTGTTCCCTTAAATGCTGGGAATGTTTTGGGCACCGAAGATAATGGGCCAGCTAGAAAATGGCAAGCTCTCATCCGGAAAACATTAGACAATCTCCCCGGGAAAAGTGGCAATTCTTACACACCTTCGCCAGTTCCAAATCCCATTGTGGAAATAAATCGCCACTCATTTCAATCTTTAAGTTACAATGAAACGATAGCAATGGAGAATTACATGCCAATGGCCACACCTAAAAATGGTCGTCGGTTTAGTGTTTCTGATAGGGATGCATTTCGTTGCACATCAACTGATTATGAGCCAAATGGGAGCTGGGATGGTTGGTCTGATGATGAGAATTCTCCGGATGACAATTGTCCAGTTTCTTGGAACGGTTGTAGTTACTATATGGAGAAAGGAGACAAACATCCTGCACACCACAGGTACTGTTTGCTTGCGAGCAAGCAGATGGTCGGAATTTTTCTGTCTGTGTGGATAAAAGTGGATCTTAGGAACAATGTTCGCAGCCTGAAAGTGTCTTGTGTTGGTAGAGGCTTGATGGGTTATCTTGGAAACAAGGTAATTTATTTTTTTCCCAATTTTTATGGAATATATTCATTTATACAAAAAATTTAAGGATGTAAACCAAACAATCTCATCATATATGGACTGATAATTTCCAGGGAGCAATTTCGGTTAGTATGTCCTTGCACAGAACAAGCTTCTGCTTTATCTGCAGCCATTTAACTTCTGGGCAGAAGGAAGGTGATGAGCTTCGAAGGAACTCCGATGTGATGGAGATTCTCAAGAAAACAAGATTTCCAAGAGTTCATGGGATGGGGGATGAAGATTCTCCTCAATCAATACTTGAGCATGAGTAAAATTCCTATCTCTTAACTTTGTCAATGCCAAATCCCATTTATTTCCCTTGGAAAATCTTGAAAAACAACTTACATCTGTGCAGTCGAATAATTTGGCTCGGTGACTTGAACTACCGAATTGCGCTGTCTTACCGCACTGCAAAGGCACTAGTTGAGACGCGAAATTGGGGGGCATTACTGGAAAATGATCAGGCATGTAAACAATATAATGATCCTCTCTACACCTGTCAAATTCAAATCAAGCTCATGTTAACAATAAACTAAGATTATTTTTTTCACTCTATTATTTTTCACATTCAGCTGAGAATGGAGCAGAGAAATGGCCACGTCTTTACCGGATGGAACGAAGGGCAGATTTGTTTTCCACCAACTTATAAATACTCAAGCAATTCAGACAGATACGCAGGGGATGATTATGCGCCTTCGAAGCGAAGAACTCCAGCGTGGTAATAATCCTCTTTTGTGACTTCTTAAATTATGTCTTATTATTATTACATTTCTCTTTAATTACATGATGCGCGCGATTAATAATGGTGTGCCCAATGTGGATAAAGGTGCGACCGTATACTATGGCATGGCAGTGGCCTCCTTCAAATGACTTATATCCGCGGAGAGTCAAGATTTTCGGACCATAGGCCAGTCTGTAGTGTGTTCTTAGCTGAGGTGGAGTCGATCAGCCATAGCCGCTTCAGGAAAAGCTTCAGCTATTCGAGCTCTAGGGTTGAGGTTGAAGAGTTGCTTCCGCGTTCGCGCTTGCGTGGCGAATGGAGTCCCTATTACTGAGGCTTGAAGACATGGTGTGGTGAGAAAGATAGTTCATAGTTTATAAGAATAGGAAGGAATATCATTTGTTTATAATTTTTAGGCTTTTAGCAGAGGTTCATGATTGGATATCTGTGTACTTAAAAGAAGAAAAAGGAGTTACTCACTCTGTCCCAAAATATAAGGGGCACTTACTTTTTAGCACAATTTTTTAACAATTTTTTTATATAAATAAAATGTGTTTTGCTTTTCACATACTCCCTCTGTCCCTAAATAGATTACAATCTTTTTTCTCTCTCCCCTCGATAACTTTTATTTGGTTACGCGATTTCATCAAGTATTTGATAAAATAAAATATTCTTGTCATCTCTTGTTTTGTAGAACTTTTGACGTAGTTTTTTAATATGTAATTTTTATAGCTTATTGATATACCAATTTATAAATAAAATGATTTTAAAAAGTAGAAAATTTTACTGCGTAACCCGCAATTTGTAATCAAATTGGGGACGGATAGAGTATGACTTTCAAATGTGACATGCCTAATCAATCATTATAAAATGATTCCATTGTAAAAGTTTCTCGCAAAAGTTGTAGGAGTACAAAGAATCGTTTAAGAAAAACAAAAGTTAATAGTGTTTAAAATAAGGTTAAAAAAATTTGAAATAAATATTTAATTTTTAAAGTTTCACGCCTCATCCAGATTAAGCTGTAAGAATGGACTCCTTACATGTCTGTGGGGCAAGTCTTCCCCTTTAACGGGTTGCTCGGTCCTCATTTATCTCCATCTACATACTCTTCGGGTGGGTGTGAACTTAGGAATAAAATTATTTATGAAGGACTAACTTGGAAATAAATCTCAATTATAGAGAACCATGTAGGTAATTAAAAGTTATTGAGGACTGAATTGGGAAACACCTTATTACAAAGGACCATATTGGAAATTTACTCTACCAATTCAATTAATTATGATCAATATAAAGATGATTTTTCACAATAAAAATGATGTTTTTGACAAATAAAATTTTTACAGTGCAGATTACTTTGGAAACACTAACGCTAAACACTGGTCGTAGATAACCTTTTCAAAACGTTAACGCTATTTCAAAATAGATTTTTAATAAACAGCATCCCATGATTTTTTTAATGAGGATTGCCATTAGAGCTGGCAAAACAGAACCGGAACCGATTACCCGAACCGAAATATCCGAAACCGAAACCGAAATGACCCGAAAAATAAAGATCCGATCTATAACCGAAAACCCGAAATGATCCGAATCGAACCGAAATCGAACTAAATAATTCATATCCGATTTAAATCCGAAACCGATTAGATCCGAAACCTATAATATCCGAACCGATTAAACCCGAAACTGATTAGATCCGAAACCGATAATACCCGAAACCGATTAGATCCGAAACCGATTATATCCGAAACCGATTAGAACCTACATAGATAATTTTGGAAGTATGTTTTCCTTTCAATATGCTTTTAAAATTTTACTTTTATTTTACCATTTGAACTAATTATATTACTTGCTCATTCTCTCATAAAATGGATTACATGTTTTAGAAATATTACAAAAAATAGAGCAAATGAGCAATAAAATAGAGATGACATAAAACGCATGAAAATTACTTTTTCCAAATCTAAGCATACATGCGATAAAATAAAGCAAACCAGTAATAAAATAGAGATGAGAATCTTGCTAAACACCAAAAAGTAGTCATCTAGTGATAATTAAAAAATATAGTATTCAATAGTCATGATCCAAAAGTGGAAATATAATGCAAACGTCCATAGATGGTAGAATTGCGGTAGCCTTTGATAAATGGTCACTGTGAACATCTATAGTAGCTGCTGGAAAAATATCATTGGGACGAGTCTTTCAATAACCTGAAAGTTACACACACTCCATTATCAATGTTCAGGTTACCAAAAATCCAGAGAGCAAAACAAGAATGCATGCTAGAACAAAAATAAAAATGCAAAACAGTGAGCAAAACAGAAATGCATCGTGTCATGGGGGTACTTGCAGTCCAATCTACATCAACAGACAGTGAGCAAAACATACCTTTATAGTTCAAATTAAGGTACTTGGATTGCTTGATGTCATATCTATGAAATTCACCCAAATAAAATATGTAAAAACATTCATAAGTATAGCTAAAATAAATAAGCATAAAGCAAAACAGAGCAGACTTAGATGAACATCTTCTAAGAGTATATTTTTTTCTTAATGATTTCCATTGAAATAGAAGAGCCTCTCAGAAGTATAAAAAACATCTTACAAAAATCAAAAGAAACCCAAATTGTTGCTATACTTTCATTCCATGATATTAATAATAAATTACTCCGTATTAAAAAATTACTCGTTTGGGAAAAGGGTTCGAAATTAATAAATTATTTATAAATTACTAATCATGTAATCTATTATGGTTTTGATGACCTCGAATGTTTGGGAAAAGGGTTCCAGGTTTATGAAGGATCTACGCTATCTAATTGAGGATGCTTAATGGACTTGGGAAAATGATCTTCGCTATCCAAAGGGTTGCAGGTTTATAAATTACTAAGCATGCAAAGTATGATGCAAATTTATTCATATTGTTCATCAACTGAATCCAATTTCAATTGAACTAACCATGGGTGGATGCCATCTTTTAGAGGTGCTCCGGACAATCTTCCGTTTACAGTTGATCGTAGCCGTCGAAGAAGTGGAGTTTACAGTGCATCGGTTAAAAGGAAGATTAGATCTGAAATTGGAAAATGGGTAGTGGACTTTGGATAAGTTATCATATCCAAATTTCTAAAAAAAACTTATAATGCATGTAATTTTATAATTAAAAAATTATAATAAATACAAATAAATTTTAATTATCAAAGATGGTAAATATTTTGTTTTTTCATTTTGAAAAGGAATTTTTGATTTTTATATAAAAGATAGTTTTAATATTTATATTAATCAGTTTATTTCACATCTTATATAAGATTCATAGAAGAAATTAATAAATACATCATACCCTCGCATACCACGATATCTACAAAAAATGAAATGTCTAACAAAGTTATTTAAGAAGAGTTAATGTATTACGGAGTATCTTTCATATGCACATACATGTATAATATTTATGTATTCCATCAATAATAGACATTGTAATTGGATTACTTAAAGAGTTATTCTCTTATTTATCTAATGTGAGTTTTATTTTTTAATATAATACAGAGTACCATTTTTAAATAGCTATACTTATAAAAAGAGTATGCGAGTCAGTGCAAAGCACGAGATAAAAACTAGTTGCTTCGACTCATCTTCCCCAAAAAGTGGTAACACAATCCTAATACAATTTGAATTTATCTTTTATCTTTTTATTTATAAAGATAAAACTAATGATATTAATAAATTTGTACTAAATAATACTAAAACATAATTACTTTCTTAATCTAGGACTTAAACTTTTTTATTCCTTAGAGAGAACTTAATAATGTCTTAGTGGGAGAAATAATGCCCAATAATAAATTAATAATGGACATTTACTTGAATAATGACTAATTAATAATGACCAAAAGTCCTACATTGGGAAATAAAAACATATGGTCCAATATTGGGAAAGTCATTGTGTTTTAGCCCTATTTAGGTAAATTACTCATAATATTATTTGAAGTGATAAAATTTTAATATATCAAAACTAAATTTTAAAATTAATATTATGATATTTAATTTATATCATCATAAAATATATTTTTTTCATAATTTGTAGTCCACTCGATCGAATATATCCGAAACCGAAATATATCCGAACCGGACTAGACCCGAAACCGAAATATATCCGAATCAAAATCTATCCGAACCGATTCATAACCGAACCGTATCTGAACCGACTCGAAACCGAACCGAACCGAAAAATGTATAGAATCGAAATCAAATCCGAACCGAAATTTAACCGATCCGAACCGAACCGAACCGATTATAACATATAACCGAAAGATATCCGAACCGAAAAAGTTCAATCCGGAACCGATCCGGTTGATCCGATTGCCACCTCTAATTGCCATTAGTAAATACAAAGGACCATTTTCGGGGGATCGATGCAGTACCTAGGATCGATCCACCCTCTGGTTTTTTGATCACTGTTCATCTTCTTCTTCGTTCGGGTCCAATTTTGAAAATACCATTTTTAGTCACCAAGTTTTAATTAAACTATATAGAAATGTTCTCCAAGGTTCATAGATCATTTTGGTATCATTAATTCATACTTTTAACAATAATTTCAAGGTTTATGATTCTTGGTTCTTCAAGTATGTCAAACACAAAACTCAACAAAACGACCGTTTATGAACGTAGAAACGATCTATACGAACATTCTAGTCACTAGATATTTCTACGGGCTTACCTCGAAACTTAATGAAGATTTTGGAATTTTCCGACAAGGTTTGTGGCTAGCTGTGGCGACTTTTCACCAAATTGACAATACTAATGAACTCTCTACTCAAGAAGAAACACTATGATACTAACTTTGGAAGGATTGGTGAAGAAATGAGAGAGAATGAGTTTCTTTTATAGCAAGAGGAAGAGGAAGCAGACATTCTTCGTGGCGTCATTCATCCTGTGCATTTGGAGTAGGGGAGGGAGCGGCCATTTCTACGAATTTTAAACGCAAGTCCCTGATTGTGACTAATAGGTCCCAGTCGGGGTATACTTTTTGGTCCAGCTTTCTCCGAATTGAAATCTGATTGAATCGTTGGGGTCAGACAGTCAAACTCTACATAACAATATAATTTTCATTATTTATTGACAAACTTTATAAATTACTTATTTTTGTGTCCTTCTCAATAATTAATTAATTATCAATTAATTAATTCTGATAAACCTATTTTCGGAGCGTTACAGTTAAAATTAAAAAACTTTGACCATACAATGCAAAAAGAATATAATATATTGAAAATATTTTAAATTTAACATCATTTGATCCGTATTGAATTAAAACTTTAAATATTAAATTTTCATTTGAAAAATTTAAAACTAATGTATAAATAAAGATATCGATCAAAGTATAGGACTAGAGACTCTGAAAAAATCAAATGAGAACATAATTTTGAAAGGGAGAAAGACCAAAGGAGTAAATTACTCAAATAGGAGTAAAAGAGAGTAGTTTTCCCTAAATAGGAGTAGTCCTATTTGCACTAACGTTTGGTGAGGAG